CAGATTTTGGCAAAGACAGAGTCATTAGAAACCAATTTTATCGAAGCTTTCTAGCGACGTGTCACATGGCAGTCTTCGACGAACGTGTTATTTGAAAACGGAGGTATCTCTTCATGTTACTGAACGGACAGCCGCTGTTATCGGGAAATGGGTGATGGCAGATACCAGATGTATTTACAATTCTTTTAAAAATATTTTTCGAATTGCGTTTTTTATGAAATCTTATAGATTCTGTTTGCAAATATCGTCAATTTTGCGCTTCCTTGGTCCTTAATCTGGACGTTATGAATGTGTTTACATTTTCATTATTTACAACGAACATAATTAAGTTGTAAATGCATTATCTAAATAATGTGATAAACATAACATATGTTATAAACAATAGGATTGGAACTTGAAATGATGTATAATATGTGGTAGCAAAGATGTTTTACAAACATGCAGATATTTTCTTTGATAAATGTTTTATGAGTGTAATTTAATTACTTTGTTATCTGAATGTCATAACATGCATAATCAGCCATTATTTATATGCAGCATAAATCATGATCATGCAATCTTGTGATATATATTTTGAAGTTTTGAGTTGAGAAAAAATAATTGCTTGTTGATTTTTGATTTTGCTTGTAACTTTTAAAACCACAAGCAAAAATTTGCTTGTGCCTATAAAAATTAAATTCTAACCCTGTGCTAGAGAGATCATTTACTTTTGTTGGGACGTGTTCACTCCAGCACACACAGGAAAGAAGTGAAGGTTTTTCCCACCTTACACACATAAGAGCTGTGAGCTGCTAGTGCTATTTTGGGGACAACACATCTTGTATAGTGAAGGGGACTCCAGTTGAAAATCTTAAAGTTTCAGATTGGTGTTACTGCAGCCAAAATACAGGATATATGGCAATGATGTAAAAGAGGTAGAGGATTTGTAAGAATTATTGGCCCTGCTAGTGTTCCTGAGCATTTTCGTTCTGCATGCAGGCCATGGGGGTTAACCCGTCTTTTCAGAACAAGGTTCCCGGTGACGTGTCAATGCTGTACATGTCAACCAATGAAAATCTTCCTTCAGGGGAATCCTTTGCCTTCAACTCCGAGGTTATTGTTGCAACAACAAACCAGGGAAAAAGTATGGTCGCGTGAGACTGTTGACATCGGGACACTTCTACACAATGACGGTGGCATCAAAGTGGGTGAAGCTCTTACAATGGTCACCGATACAGCAGGTAAGGTGATTTTCAAACCTGTTAAAGTGCCAACGAAAAAACATTCCACTTGGAAGCTGGACATGCGCATTCCCTATTTAAATGAATATATACCTCGCCAAAATTTCACTCTGCATATGGTGCAAGGTCTACTCTCTTACATTGAGACAAACTGTTCAGCAGCACTAAGATTTGGTCCTGATGCCTGGGTTCAATATGACCAGCAATTCCAACATAGAATGGCTAGAGACCCTCTCTGATGTTGGGACAAAATTGACGGTGAGCTATAAATGATCCCGCAGTCGGGGGCATCAACAGGTCCATGGTTAATTCAGCAAGTGTTTCAGACCCAGCACTCAACATATGCTACACATTCAACATATATCATGGGTGCAAAAAGTACAGCTATGAATACTCCCACAGATGCAGCAAGTGCAGCAAGATGTCTCATGGTGCCACGACCAGCTTTCAAGGACAGGGGCTCCCACGAACCCGTAGCAGTCAGTGACTCATGAAGATAGGATAGATATTGTCAGACAAAAGCTTAAAAAAGAACTGGATCATAACAGAATGGCAATGCTATGCCCTTTGTTAACTTGCACGTCTCTCCAATAGGTCTCATCCCAAAGAAACTGTCAGACTCACAACAATGCCAAGGTGAGTAAGTCAATGATTTTCGTCTAATTCATCATTTGTCCTATCCCAAAGGGGGATCTATAAACAGCCACATAGATCTGCAAGCATGTTCCATCTCGTATGCCAAGTTCAGAGAAGCCGTACAAATGGTGCAACACTTGGGACAGGGGGTGCTGCTTGCAAAGTTTTACATCAAGTCAGCATTCAGAAATATACCAATGCACCCACATGATTTCGAACTGCTGGGTATTCAATTGGAAGGTTAATTGTACCTCGATAAATGCTTAGCATCTTTGAGACTATATATGTCTAACTGCGAAATAATTTTTCACGTTAGTTGGCCATAATTAGGACAGAAATAACAAGCATGAAATACTCACATCCCCCGCCAATATGACATATCGGGTGTGTGCAATGCATTAGCTCCTGTGAACTATGTTCACTGGGCCTTTTTGTAAATGGCCTAATTGCAGCACTAAAAAAAAGATATTACTGGTGTTGTTTTTCCATCTGCAGTTTATGATAGAATATGTTACTGAATTTGTAATGAGTAAGGATGAGACATATGGATGAACAACTTCTTTATTACAATTAGGAGCGATGGTTTCGGTGTAGGTTCTAACACAATTATCAAGCAAGTGAAGTACAGAGTATGGTTGACAAGAATATATATTGTTAATACAGTTGAGTAGGTTTAAGATCAGTTACACTGTTGAACTCGTAATGAGTTGTGTTTCTGTATGAAAGCTAGTCAGTGAATGCAACAACTGTGTCCATGACACTTTTGGAGGAACATACACTCAAGCAATGCAGAACTTACCAACAAGAAAGGAAATGTATTCAATACTGTGAGATGACATTATGTGCCAAGTTTGGTAAAAAAATATAGTACGGTTTTCAAGATCTGCTCCGGAAACAAGGACTACCGCCATTTTTAGTCTATGTCAAAGTCGTTGCCATGGAAACTAAAAAAAATAACTTTTTAACAAATCCCAAACTATCAAAAGGCACCAGTTCACCACTAGACCTATCAATGTGCAAAATTTGGTGAAGAAAAATGGTACGGTTTTCAAGATCTGCTCCGGAAACGAGGACTACCGCCATTTTCAGTCTAAATATTTACAAAGTCGTTTCCGTGGAAACTCGAAAAAAATTTTTTTTTTAAATCCCAAACTATCAAAAGGCACCAGTTCACCACTAGATCTATCTATGTGCCAAGTTTGGTGAAGAAATATGGTACGGTTTTCAAGATCTGCTCCGGAAACGAGGACTACCACCATTTTCAGTCTAAATCAAAGTCGTTGCCATGGAAACTCGATTTTAAAAAAAAAATTAAATCCCAAACTATCAAAAGGCACCAGTTTACCACTAGATCTATCTATGTGCCAAGTTTGATGAAGAAATATGGTACAGTTTTCAAGATCTGCTCCAGAAACGAGGACTACCGCCATTTTCAGTCTAAATCAAAGTCGTTGCCATGGAAACTCAAATTTTTTTATTTTTTTAAATCGCAAACTATCAAAAGGCACCAGTTCACCACTAGGTCTATCTATGTGCCAAGTTTGGTGAAGAAATATGGTACGGTTTTCAAGATCTGCTCCGGAAACGAAATGTGACGGACGGACGGCACCCATTCCTATATCCCCTTTCCACTTCATAGCTAATAACTGCCAAATGCCACTACAGTACACTTTTTTCTAGTTTGGATGGTGGGATCAAGCTTCATGTCAAGGGCAAGGCAACAGCTATCCTAACAGCATCCTCAGCTGGTGCCTTACAGGCGAGGGGTGGCCTGAGGTGGAATGAACTGGACCAGTTCATAGATGCTCAGGTTGAGGAAACGCGGTGCAGCCCTTGAGCTCTGGTTATACACCTGGGCACCATCAACATGATCAAGACAAGCCAGCTCCTCCTTGATATGGAGACATCCATCAAGTGAATCCAGGCGCACCTGCCATATCCCTTGTTTGTTTTTTGGATATTCTTCCATGCCATTATTGGCACAATGCCGTGACCCACGTAAGGTGGAAATGGTTGGTTTGTTTGTTTGTTGTTTAACGCCACACTCAGCAATATTCCAGCTAAATTCAATTGATGACATGCTTCAATTAATTCAGCGAGCCTGACCACTCGATGCAGTTAGTCGCTTCTTATGACAATGAGCCGATCTAAGCTAAACAGGCGGCTAGCCAACCGTCTCCGGGATATAACAAACTTTTCATCCATCCCCCATCCCAAAACAGTTGCCACTGACTGTTCATAAATAAAAGTTAGACATCTCTCTTATGAGGCAATCATGACGGACAGGCTTATCATCATCCACAGCCCAGGGATAAGGGGCGGGATTTTCCTGGGCTACCTCCTATGTCATCCTAATTTATATTAATATATATAATAATTAGGCTGGGTTACCTTCTTACCAGTTGGAACCCAGTCTTTCTAAGGTTTTCACTCTGGAATCTAGTAACAATTAAATTTGGCAATGCAATTTGCCAGGTTCACTCTCATTTAGACACACAGTGTTGGTTGGGTGGCAACGTTTCCGACAATTAGGCCTCAGCATTTGTTAATTATGGATTAATAATTATGGTCGGCAATGCAATTTTGGCCACATTAGCTGGGCCTAGCAGCGTTCGCTCACATTTAGACCCGTAAAGGTTGGTATGAAAATATGAGTTATGACTAGAGGTGTTTTACAAAACCCTGAGCACTGACCTTAACCTTTGACTTAAATCTTCACCAAAACATTTTCAAAACCCCATTTAGAAGAAGTCTATAGAGGAAATGTCAATCTTTGTGAAGTGGACATGAGAAAAATCCCGCTCAGAAGTCATGCAAACCTTAAACTAGGCTGCTAAATACATTAAAGTGTTATAATACCTTATAGATGTCCTATACTGATGAATTTCTTAATTAAAACAGATTGTGTGTGTGTGTGAATGTGGCTGATGCCAGTTTTACAGTGCTAGCCCACTGAGATACCATGCTGCAGTTTTATCCCTTAATTTCGAGCACAAGGCCTGGAAAAAACAGGTATCAAACCACTTACCTTCCACTCTATCCACTAGTCAAAGTATGTTAGGATTACTTGGAAAGTTTATGGATGCTTGCAATAATGGGGTACCTTTCCAGAACAAATGAACTTGAGACGTTAGAAATATTTACCTTGAGTACTAGATACTGCATTCTGCTGACCACTGCGGCGGTTGTTGTGTGTCTTGATGTGTTTTGACAAGTGATCACTCCTCATAAAGCGTTTGTTGCATTCTGAACACTGGAATTTTTTCTCACCTATAATACACAAGAAAGAGCATCATAGAGAGAGCAAACTAGAGTGCCATAGTCAATAGAAATATGAAATTTGATGTAAAACATCACTTGACATGATTTACCATTTAAATTGTTTTTCCTCCTCTCCAAGGCATTGTCTTATATGCAGAGATTAAGGCTAAAAAAAAATATTATTGGTTCTCAGGCACTGCCTCATCATCACAAAGTCCGCCACACGTTTCGTTTTAATTGCCATTTTCAAAACAAATAAAAATCCTTAAATATTCTGCGCCTAAACACACAACCCCAACAGTGAAATGCTACAATACTTAAAAACAATTCAATCCATTACAGCTTGCAGTTACTTCCCTTTTCATGCGCACTACTTTACTGCGCATCTCATGTGTTATGGCGGTTACAGGCCGGCAAAGCCACATTTCGAAAATAGATAGCCCAAATTGATGTGGCTCTCGCGGCAATGGTTATGGTTGCGTGAGTGTATAATGTGGCTCTCGCGGCTATGCTGTCAAAACATGCTTTGTGATTCTAACAGGTTACCGTATATAACAAAACAAGTCTTGTTTTCTCATTTTTTATTCAACAAGGATAACATATTCATCAAAACTTTACATTGTTGAATATGAATAGCATATGAATATCATAATGGATTTAATGTCATTACTGCAGATGAAGGAGGTCGTCCACGTGGTCAGCATATTCCATCTCACTCAGGTGTTGGTTCAGGAGCTGGATCAAGCCACACATCATCCACTTTGTCACGAGGTACTAGAGGGAGGACAGCAGCTCTTCTCACTAGCTTCTTCACCTCCTTATCTTCCTTAAATAGTCCATCACCAGACCTGCTTTCTGCACCCTCCTCCAGATACATTGGGTGAAGTGAAAGAAACACCCTCTAACTAATGTCCCAGGAAATGTTCAATGTTCTTTTCTGTAGTGAAGATGAGGATGTAATTTAAATGTGGGACACTCATTTAAAGGTATCGGTAATCGGATTAATTAATTACCCGCTAGAATAGGTGAAATGCTCTCAGCTGAAAATGTGGCTCTACCGGCAATAGCCATTTCTGAAATGTGGCTCTCCCGGCTAGACACCGTTATGGCCATGGTGGCAATGGGAGTTTGTGTGCTTGTTTTGCTGTTGGCAAATTTTGTCAATGAAAACATGAAATTTTCCATAAAACATCACTAGACATGATGTTTTAGATATTCAATGGTATTTGTGTACTGTATGCGGGACAATGTTTCATACACAGAGGTTAAGATTTACATGTGTATTTGTCTCGTAAAAATTAGCGTGAAATTGATGCTAATTTATATACCCTGTCTATAAAGCGAATCAGAATGAAGCACGTCACCAAAGCATACAAAATCCCAACATTTGAAATTTAAACGTGTTTGTCTTCCGCAGAAAAATATTACATCGTATCCCTTCAGCGAATTCAGGGATACGAACAGATAATAACAATCAAACTTGGTCAATTCAAATTTGAAATTTGAGATAAAACATCACTAGACATGATGATTTATCGATTAAATTGTATATCCTGTTCTGATTGTCATTGTTTCATATGCAGAGATTAAGATTACTGTGTGTATTTTCTTGCAAACTAAGCCGGAAGTAGCAATCGGCTGTACACACGTTCATCGGAATCTACTGATGATACGGTAATAATATGACTTTAAAAAATGTTGATACAATGAGCGAAAGAATTGTATCTGAAACTATTTTTTTATCAGGAATTTATTCCAATATCATGTTATTTTAGTTGCATCTTTACTATATATATATATATATGTAAAATAAATTAATAACCATAAGTGTAGCACTATGATACAGGTGATTGCTATTGCCGGATATTTTTTCGTATGGAACAATTTGACCAATCACCATCGATGCTCCCACGCCCACTCCCGCACCCGCAATAACTTTTTGTTGACACATAATAGTCAAACTACAACAAATATGACTTTCAGCGAGTCAGTGTGTGGCATTTATGATATACTAGTATATATCCATTTTCTATACACTAAAGTTCATTTCAAAGCATCAATTGTGGTAATATGAACATGGTTGCTGTAAACAACGGTGAGTTGTGCGATCTTCCAATCACTTCACATAGGATTTCGCCTAAATGAATTGAAACAATGTTGAATGAAATTTTGAATAAACTTAATAAAATATATTACAAACAGAAGTCCAGATACACAATGAACATGTTTTTATAACAAAATAGTATACTAAGGGACTAAAATTGCATACTTCAGTTCGAATATGTTGACTGGTATTTCTAGTGTTACGTGCTTGCTGTGATCAGCTGATAATGTTTTTTGAGATGCCTGGGATAAAAAATGTAAGTTTGTTTGTTAGTTGTTTAACACCGCATTCAGCAATATTCCAGCTGTATGATGGCGGTCTGTAAATAATCGAATCTGGACCAGACAATCCACTGATCGACATGAGCATTGACCTACGCAATTGGGATATGATGACATGTATCAACCAAGTCAGCAAGCCTGACCACCCAATCCCACTAGTCGCCCCTTATGACAAGCACAGCAAGCACAGCAAGCACAGCAAGCACAGGTTATAGATAAGTACATTTTGGGAGCCATGTTTCTACATTGATGCAAGAATGTTACCTCAAAACAACGAGTGTGAATCACTTTTCTTTGTTATAGTTTGGGCAGATACAGAAACTAAAAAAAGCATTTCTCCTAAAAAAAGATTGCACTTGACACCAAGGAACTCTAGATCATTCGGTATTAACTGTGTGTATTAAACTGCCACTGCTACCAACAGTAACCTGTAGTAAAAGCAATGCGAAACAACTGTGTTTGAAGATTTGTTGATATTCAATTTTGCATACAAGTATTTTGTATGCCATGTATGCCAATATCCACAAACTAGTTATCTCTAAACAATGGCCCAAAACAAAGCATCCATGTCAAATTTACCAGTAACTTCATTAAAATTTCATACAATTTAAATCACCCTTGATGATTTCTACAATAGCCACCATGGCACCCCATGTTTATTTTCTGTTTGCAAAACTAAAAATCAAACAAATATTTGTCACAGAGTGACGAAATATCCCCCGCCATATACACCATAGTACCAAATATGAAGACAATCCAGCGATTAGTTCTTGAGATATTGTGGCAACACCGTTTTCCAACTCCAAAAACAGATTTGCCTGCTGTGACCTTGAAAATGGGGTCAAGGTCACCAAATCTGACAGGTGTATGCGGTGTCTGTATATACACTATAGTTCCAAATATGAAGACAATCCAGCGATTAGTTCTTGAGATATCGCGGCAACACCGTTTTCTAACTCCAAAAGCAGATTTGCCTGCTGTGACCTTGAAAATGGGGTCAAGGTCACCAAAACCGACTGGTGTCTGTGGTGTCTGTATATACACCATAGTTCCAAATATGAAGACAATCGAGAGGTTTAGTTCTTGAGATATCGCGGCAACAGCGTTTTCCAACTCCAAAAGCAGATTTGCCTGCTGTGACCTTGAAAATGGGATCAAGGTTACCAAAACCGACTGGTGTCTGCGGAGTCTGTATATCCACGATAGTTCCAAATATGAAGACAATCCAGTGTTTAGTTCTTGAGATATCGCGGCAACACCGTTTTCCAACTCCAAAAGCAGATTTGCCTGCTGTGACCTTGAAAATGGGGTCAAGGTCACCAAAACCGACTGGTGTCTGCGGTGTCTGTATATACACCATAGTTCCAAATATGAAGACAATCCAGTGTTTAGTTCTTGAGATATCGTGGCAACACCGTTTTCCAACTCTAAAAGCAGATTTGTCTGCTGTGACCTTGAAAATGGGATCAAGGTCACCAAAACCGACTGGTGTCTGCGGAGTCTGTATATACACCATAGTACCAAATATGAAGACAATCCAGTGTTTAGTTCTTGAGATATCGCGGCAACACCGTTTTCCAACTCTAAAAGCAGATTTGTCTGCTGTGACCTTGAAAATGGGATCAAGGTCACCAAAACCGACTGGTGTCTGCGGAGTCTGTATATACACCATAGTTCCAAATATGAAGACAATCCAGTGTTTAGTTCTTGAGATATCGCGGCAACACTGTTTTCCAACTCCAAAAGCAGATATGCCTGCTGTGACCTTTAAAATGGGGTCAAGGTCACCAAAACTGACTGGTGTCTGCGGAGTCTGTATATACACCATAGTTCCAAATATGAAGACAATCCAGTGTTTAGTTCTTGAGATATCGCGGCAACGAACAGGTGGGACGTACGGACGGACGTACGGACGGTCGTGAATACTATATCCCCCGCTTCGCGCTTTCGCGCGGCGGGGGATAATAAAAAAACATGTTACTAACTAAGCATACTTGTAAATTGTATATTTATATACTTATCCTATCTCACACTATGCATTTCTTCTTATTCTTCGATCTTGGTGTGGAAACGCCCTAGAACAAAGTTCACATCCAACACATCGCCAAATCACAACTGTGATCATGGGTCACGCACCACTAAAATCCCGTGCGACACGACCCCAGCGACCTGATCACCTGACATATCCAGCACCCTCATTCTCAATCTAGAGAGTACAGGCTGGTGTAACTGTGATACTGGGATGGTTGGGTTGGCATTTAGCGTGTGAGATAGGATAAGTATATAAATAAACAATTTATTAGAAAATATACAAATTTTTAAACTTATCCTATACATTTACCCCACAGTTGGATGGTGGGGCACAGATATCCTAGCCTGTAAGGACCTCAACCGTCTGGAACTAATCAAGAAAATTCAAAGGATTTTACAAGGATCACCTGACATATCCAGCACCCTCATTCTCAATCTAGAGAGTACAGGCTGGTGTAACTGTGATGCTGGGATGGTTGGGTTGGCATTTAGCGTGTGAGATAGGATAAGTATATAAATAAACAATTTATTAGAAAATATACAAATTTTTAAACTTATCCTATACATTTACCCCACAGTTGGATGGTGGGGCA